CTTCCTAATCCCGTTCCCATGGAAACAAGCACCAGCGTGGCAACGATAAGACTTTGAACAGGGCTCCTGCTGGCGGGCCTCAGGTGCAAGTCCCAGAAGCAGAGACTATGCCCGGATGCACCAGGGCCAGGACCGAGCTCCTGCAGTGGTAGGGGTTCTCCATTCGCCTAGCTCAGCCCCAGACATGGGTGGCATGGTGGGAAGAGAGGGTGTGGCAGCACACCTGGCGCTGAGCTAATTCACTGGCTCTCCCAGGTATTCTCTGCCAGCCGGCCATCCACCTGCAACTTAGAGCTGCCCTTTCCTGGCAGAAATGCCAGGGGAAGGGTGGCTTTGCAAACTCCACCTGCCCTCCCCAGGGCTAGGGGATGTAGCAGCCCCTACTGGCTCAGGAAAATGTAACATGCAGGGGCGAACTGACCCCAGAGAGTCCAGAAAGAAATCTTTCCAGGGCTGCCCCTCCCCAAACTCCAGCTGCTCACTGAGACCTACCAGGGCCAGCTGGCAAACACAGACCTGGCCCCTGATGTGCAATAGGCGAAGACAAGAATCATTAAATAGTGACTGGAGTGATTTCCCCGTCGATGGCTGTAGGAGTTTCTAGGAGGGAAATCTGGCTCAGTCCTGGCCTGTACAGTTATACCAGACAGTGGTACACAGCCAAGCTCCGTCCTGATTTACACCCTTTTCAGGGGAAGTCTGCATTGCAGGCTGGGCGGGTGAATGGCAGGTCTGCACTTGCTTGTACAGCTGGTGCTGAAGCCTGCAGTGTGGCACCCTCACTTCTATTGTCAGCAACTGACTAGAGTACATCTAGCACGGGTTTGTCTACCCAAACTGCCATTCCCACGGCGTAGACGTCCCTGAAGTCACTGGGGGAAGCTGGCACTGAATCCATCCCAAAGGAAGAATATTTGCCAGCCATACCCAAGCCCCCTGTCTTACTGCCCATCTTCTATTATTTCACTCCCGGGGTGGGGGGTCATCTCTAAGCCCCCCATTCAGCAAAGCACTTAATGGGACCTCCAAGACCTAAATAGTCATCTTGGCTCTCGTAGGGCCCAATCCTGTGAGCTGTATTCGTATAAATAGCCCCACTGAGTCCCCTCATGTGAGTAAGGTTTGCAGGACTGATCCGAAACGCACTGAAAACAGTGGAAAGGCTCCCATTGACTTCTATGTCCAAAGCCAGTTACCATAATGTCCTCAAAACAATATGACGTGTTTATATAGGGTTATAGCTCATAGGTTGGGCCCTACCAAATTCATGGCCATGAAAAACATGTCATGGACCGTGAAATCTGGTCTCCTCAAGTGAAATCTGGTCTTTTGTGTGCTTTTACCCTATACTATACAGATTTCATGGGGGAGACCAGGGTTTCACAAACTGGGAGTCCTGATCCAAAAGGGAGTCGCAAGGTTATTTTAGGGGGTGTTGCAGTGTTGCCATCCTTACTTCTCTGCTGCCTTCAGAGCGGGGCGGCCAGAGAGCAGCAGCTGTTGGCTGGGCCCCCAGTTCTGAAGGCTGAGCCCTGCCAGCAGCAGCATAGAAGTAAGGGTGGCAATACCATACCATACCATCCTTACGTCTGCGGGACTGCTGAAAGTGTCTCTGCCTTCAGAGCTGGGATCCTGGCCAGCAGCCGCCGCTCTCCAGCTGCCCAGCTCTGAAGGCAGCGCCGCCACCAGCAGCAGCGCAGAAGTAAGGGTAGCAGTACCACAACGCCACCTACAATACCCCTGCAACCTCCCCCACCCCAACTCCTTTTTGGGTCAGGACCCCTACAATTACAACACCGTGACATTTCAGATTTAGATAGCTGAAATCATGACATTTATTATTTTTAAAATCCTATGACTGTGAAACTAACCAAAATGGACCATGAATTTGGTAGGGCCCTACTCATATGTACCTCTGGATTACAGCGCATGCGGCACATCCTCTGGCATATGCACTTGTACCTAGCTACCTCGACAGCTCAATGTCACCCTCCGCTGATACAGCCATGGTGCAATGCAGCAGCTCTTTAACACTGCACAGCAAAACTACAAGAGAGTTTAGCACCGGCCACAAATAACTCATTTACCAGTTACAGCTGCAAAGGGGATTTAAACAGGTACATTATTGATTATTATTTACAATGGCACCTTCTAGCCAAAGAGCTCAAAGTCCTTCACGCATTCCACAGAGGTAGGTACATGTTATTATTTTGCTTTTACAGCTAGGAAAACAGAGGCACTGACTGATTAAATGACTTGCCCAGGGTCACAGAGCAGGCCAGTGGCAGAATGCCACCTACAGAGTGACTAGCACCAACCACTTCCTGCAGTGTTTTGAGTTTCTTTGGGGATCTTCCATCGAAGTACTGACCTGTCCCAACCCTCTGTATAGGCTGTGAAATTTGACCAGACAGAGCTAGAATGGCTGAAGAACACATTATATGCAAACCAGTGAGATGCTGAAAACAAAACTGCTTTGGATTTGTTCCATCCACAGAAAGGACACCCCAGGACACCCAGAGAGCTGCAAGAGATGGGTAGAGATGATTCATCAGCACTTAAAGAACCCCTTTTGCTGGCTAATATTTAACCAGAGTTTCATGCTCAGCCAATTCCTCTCAACTGCAGACCCTTAGGAGTCGCGGTTTTACCCCCTGTGGTACCTTGACGCGGCTGATGTTCATGCCGCTCATGCTTCCACTGCGGTCTATCAGAAATATAAACTCTCCCTGGGTTTTCCTGAGGTCTGGCTGGCTGGTTCTCAGGTCAGGGCAGAAGTTCAGCATGATCACGGGGTGGTGAGGGATGTCCTTGTTGAGACGTTTCCTGATGATTTCCGTCTGCAACAAGCAAAAAATGAACTCGAGAGGAAGAGCACCAGTGTTGCTGCTTATCTGTAAAACCCCTCCATGTATTCTCCCTTTCCCCCCAAATCTAGGCATGAAACAGAGCCGTGTTAGAGACACAGTGTTAAAAGGACCTGAGCTCCGTCTCTGCTACAACTTCCCCCATTCCTGCCCCCCGTGGAGCAGCTCCAGTGCTCAGTGACATGTCTGATTTCTATCAGGGAAGATACACTCTGGAGGGCAAATGCTGCATGAGACCCCCAATCAGAGAATACCTATGTATCGCCTGCCTGCATGAACTCACAGTGGGAACACCACCAATCTACAACTTGGGATAAGCACCTTATGGCAGAGAATCTCCGAACACTTTATTAAGTAAGCCTCTGTGGATGAAGTCGGTAAGTGTTGTTAGCGTGTGCATTTTACATATGGGGAAACTGAGGCATGGAGCCCTTAAGTGACTTGCTCAAGGTCATATAGTAATTAAATGGCAGAGCTAGGAACAGAACACACGACAACCTCAAGCATTGTTCCACATCTAAATGGGGCACAATGGCCGGCTCTGTTATTTTCTGCTGATTCTGGTTTTTTTTCTACCTGTTCTTTTTATCATATTTTATCACATACATTAAAATACCTGGCTTACCACGCCAGGTATAATTGCAATAGAAAACTGCATGCTACATAGTTTCTTTACTACACATCATACCTCAGACCTATTGGCTTTTTGCATTTTTTCATGTTACTATACGTATCAATCTTCATTTTAAAAAATCAATAACATTGAACTTTTTAAAAAAAAAAGAGGTCCCACAATGCTTTTAGACTCTTCTTTGTTAGGTGCATTATGATTCTTTATTTACATTATCATAATGCCCAGGAGCCCCAGTTATGGACTTGTACCCCATTGTGTTAGGTGCTGTACAACAACAGAACAAAAAGCCGACAGATCCTCGGCTGACGTGAATCAGCAGAGCTCCACTGACTTATGGAGCGACGCTGGTTTATACCAGCTGAGAGTCTGGCCCCTTGTCCCAGCTCTGCAGTATTGAAACACGCTCTTAAGCAAACAATTTTTCTCTGAAAAAAGAAAAAACCAAGGCTGCGGATTCTCTCTGATTTCACGGGAAGTTCACAAACCTTCTGCCTGCATGATTGGTCATATTTTATACAGCCAGTGAGGCTTCCGTCCCCAGAGCCTGCTATAACGTCATTACTAACCCTTCTTTTTCTGTACTGTTCTACACGTACCGCTGATCTCTCCCCAACTCAGCCCCGCTTTGGGTTGATCTGCACACACAGGCTTCATTTGTCAGCAACACAGGCCGACTTTCTCTTCCCCCTGCCCCCTGTGGAAATGCTATTCACATTTACAGGAATAAGTACAGAACCCTGTAGCTACATTAGCCTGGCTATAAATGACAAGGGCTATCAACTCTCATGCTTCAGGGTCTAAATTGCTCACCGGCTGGTAGGGGTCGGGAAGTCATTTCGCTCCCACCCCCCATTCTAATGTCACATTGTTTCACCCTTCCTCAGAAGCATGCATCATTGGCCTCTGTCAGAAAGCAGATTAAAGGGGCCATTGGTGTCTTCCAGCATAGTAATTGCTATTCAGCCGTATACAGACTGGAATAACACCTCTGGATTTGAGCACCTCACAAGGGAAGCCTGGTGTCAGCTGAGAGATGGAGACAGCTTGCCGCCTGGATGAGTCCCCTGTGGATGGGATGACCCGTCCTAGGAAAATTGAATAGAAGGACGGGCTGCATGAAGACAAGCCCTGAGCAGAAGGGTGGGTCCTGCTGAAGATGTTTTTGAATTCACTGTATGCATAGAACCATCGGCTTAAACGGGACCTGAAGCCTCATCTAATCCAACCCCCTGCCAAGATGCAGGTTTTGTTGTGTCTGAACCATCCATGACAGATTCCTTTGTCTTTGAACTTTAATACCCTGAAAGGGCCAGAGAGCTCAAGCACCACTGCACTGGACTCACAACGAACCGTCCCAGACTCCAGGACAGGGTGAGGAGTGCCCCGTTGGGCCACCGTAAAAGCAGACCCTGCCCCGCTTCTCTTCATAGCACCCCCGTGCCACAGGCAAGCATCACCCCCGTTCTGCAGATGGGGAAATCAGGCACGGGGCAGGGTAAGTGACTTGCCCCTGGTCACATAAAAGCCTAGGGTTGAGCTGGGGACTGAACCAGGGTCCCCTGAGTCTAAATCCAGTGCCCGGTGCACTAGGCTGTTCTGCAGGTGAGGATGTTGGGAGGCACTCAGAGCCTCACAAGGTTAAAGGAGCCTCAGACGAGCAGGGCCCAATCCTGGCAGCCCTATAAGCACGGGCCTCCACTGACTTCAGAGGGAGTTTTGCAAGGGAAGCCTTGGTAAACAGGACACGGAGGGCAGATCTACACTGCAATGCAAGGCCAGGGTTAATGGCACTCGAGACAGGGCTTGAGCATCTGTACTGATTCCCAACCCTAGGTAAAGAATATTTTAACCTGGGCCCGAACTCGGGGCTCTGGGGTCTACACTGCAGTAGGCAGACCCGAGTCCAACCAATTGTATCCCAGACTTCCTAGCACCCTCCCGAAATGTGGCCACTCTCACCCTCCGTGGGGGACGCAGTGTGGGAAACCTTGCTGCCTGTTACAGGAAGGTTGAGCAACCCGCCAACACAACCTGCCGTGCTGTCGTTTTGGTCTGCGCCCTTCCTGCAGCCAGAGCCAGCGACCTGGAGGAGGTGCCATTTCAAGCACTTCTCTTGCTTGGGCTTGAAGCCCATTTTTGGATGTGGGCAGAGCTTCCATGAGGCGCTGGTGGGCATTTCGGCAGCGTTTTCTGACCCACGGAAGGCACCGGACAGATCTAATGATGGAGCAGGAGTGGGAGGATGCAGACATGGCAGACTTGAACTGGCTGATGCTGCTCACTTGGTACAGCCGTTCACGCCCCCTGTGTAGACCGGCGCTTCTGGAGCAGGGCCGTAAGCACAGGCTGGTGGGATCCCATCATCCTGCAGACCTGCAATGACCAGCCGTGGGTCCAGAAATGTTGCATGAAGAAAGCTGTATTTCTGCAGCTCTGTGAACAGATCCAACCCTCCTGCACAAAGACACTCATATGAGGGTGGCCTGGCCAGTCCAGAAGCGGGTTGCTATCACCTTCTGGAAGTTGGCTATCCCACGCTGCTACAGGTCCATTGCCAACCCGTTTGAGATTGAAAAGTCAATGGTGGATAAAATGGTGGCAGAGATTTCTGAGGCAGTTAGGGGTGTGGTTGACCCCAAGATGGCGGGCATAAAAGATACTCCTGAAGTAATTGCTGGCTTGTTTCCAGACTGCGCCAGGGCCATTGATGGGACCCGTGTGCCCATACTTTGCCTTCCTCCAAGAGCATAAGTACAAGAACTGCAAAGGGTGCTACTCCACGGCTGTGCACGCCCTCATGGACGACCAAGGGCGATTTATGAACGTAAGGGTTGGCTGCACTGGAAAAGTTCATGATGCCAGGGTTTGGGTTATTTTTTTTTTTCCCAATTGGGAGTCTACATTCATGGACACACTGAGCCATTATTCCTGCCACGTGACATTGTCATAAACGGCGTCACTGTCCCCACTGCTATTCTGGCCTTTTGCGTTGGCTTTTGAAACCAGCCCCTGATCTCGGAGGCCCTGGCAAAAGAAGGTTTAATTCCACTCTCAGCAGACGGAGAATGGTGGTTGAATGAGTTTGTCAGACTGAAATCCCCTGGGAGATGTCTACGGAACCCTTTGGATTCCAGTGACATCAGTGCTGTCCGCCTCCCTGTGGCTTGTTGTGCTTGTCACAGTCTTTGTGAAGCCGGAGGTGAGTCATTTCCCCCCGAATGGGGCTATGGCAGCGAGGAGCCGCTGGCCCAGTACACTCAGCCAGAAAGTGCATCTGCCACAGCTGCAGCTGGATGCACCCGGGCAACAGACGTCAGGGATGCTTTGTGCTCCCACCTTATGGACTTGCATGGGCCAATGGAAGAGAGAGACCAGTACCTGTATGAATGTGCTTGTGGCAGGGGGTGGAGGGCTGTTGATTGCTTGTGTAGGCTGGGGGGTGAGATAGGGTGTACCAGGCCTTCCTGGCTCCCTGCTGGAGGCCCAATGCTCCTACTACACCCCACCCCAGGAAGGAACAGTGGAGGTGGGCCCTCCAGGTCTGCCTAGAAAGGCTGCACGGAAGCAGCCAATCAGAGCCCAGCAGGCTCCGCTAAAAGGAGCGGCAGGGCCTTTGTGGGTCAGTTCTTGGCTGGGACCAGAGGGGGAAGGAAGGAAGGGGGTTCCCCTCTGGCCACAGGCACTCAACCGGCTATTATTGGACCTGGGAGAGAGCGGGCCCAAGAACTCTCACCCGAGGGTAGCGGGTGGAGGTCAAGGGAGCAGGTGGGAAGAGGCCCAGAGAATGCAGCAGCAACTGACCGAAGGGACCCATACATGGCTACTGTTTATAGGGTCCCAGGGTTGGGACCCGGAGTAGTGGGCAGGACGAGCCTTTAAAAGCCAGAATGAAGGGCTGGATTTAAAGGACCCAGAGATGGGGCTGAAGACCCTGCTGAGGGCAGACAGACCCCCGGAAGGGGTTCATTTTTGAGTGTGTGACTTGGCCAGAGGACTGAGTCACTGAAGACCCGCCTAGCAAGGTCAGCCACCTACAAGGGGTACCAGGGGTGGGGAAAAGGATTGCAGTACTGCTCCCAGCCACTAGGAGGCACTCAGGAGGTGAGTGTCGCCTGTCACAGGGAGGTTGATTGTCATGCATTATTTATAGTCTTGAATGACGTGACCACTTATGAAAGGGGATGGGGGGACAGTCTGGATTGCTGTAAATAACCGACGTAAGGATTGAGACATGGGTTTTGCATGCCACTTCCCAGTTGTCCCTTATCACGTGTTTGCCTTTATTATTTGAAATACACATGACATGCTGCGGTGCAGTGATGGCAATAAGGTTTCTTTATGAAATCAAAACTTTTATTTTGACACATTTATTGGCCAGTCCAATATGAAACTGTTGCAGGGCAGGCCAGTTGCCCTTAACACCCCAAAACACCAGCAACACCCAAACCTTTAAAAGTTACCAAGAATAAAGCACATAAACACGTGCAAAAAAGGTACAAGACAACCCCACCTGCTACTGCATCTCCCCTGAGACCCGTTTTCCTTTCCCTGTTTGCCATGGGGGAGGGGGGTGGAAGCATCCATAGGGGAGGGGTTCAGCAGTGAGGACTGCATGGGGCACATTTGCCCTGTTCAGCCACTCATAGGGCCCTACTGCACGGGCCACCCAGCCATGGAGTTGTCCAAGCTGCTCCTGGAGTGCAGGGCAGGGTACCACGGAGGGGATGCAGCCCATGGTGCAGCAGCAGCTGGCAACCTGGAAGCCATTAGAGACAGCAGCCGCTCAAACAATTCTCTCTGTAGCCCTCTATCTTCCTCCTTTAACCGCCATTCCTGTTCCAGGAACTGCGAAGCAAGTGCCTGCTTTTGTGTCATCCCCCTGTCCTCGAGCTGTGAAGCCAGCCCGAGCCTTTCCGCTTGTCTCTCTTGGCATGTTTTTCCTCTCGCCCAAGTCCCTTCGCCTTTGGTACTCGACCTGCTCGTTGGCCCTGTCCAGAACTCCAACCATAAATTAATCCCGGAAAAGCTTCCGCTTGGAACACTCCGTGAAGGTCCGGTGAGCCAGGCTTCTGCATGTGGGCGAGCTGCGGAGATATTGCCACCTGGAGAGGTCAAGGGGCCTAGAATAGGACAAGACACACGCCGTTATTGTCATGAATAGCTCAGGGCAGGAGCCGAGAAAAAAAAATCAGTTTGGAATTTCCAGAACAGAAAATATTACTTTCTGAGACTGAACTTTGTTACCTTGGCAGAGGGCTGCTCAGACCACGAAAGCTTCCGGCACCCAGCCGGATTCATTGCAGTGAAAGCAGTGCTGAGAGAATGGGAAATTCAAAACCACAATTTAAAAAAAAAATGGAATTTAGGGGGAAGTTGGTGACAGCACTTCTCCTTCATTTCAGCCATTGCACATTTTGGAGGTCGGAACAGTCCTTGTGGTGCCCGACTGGCAAAGCGAGGGGTTCGTCGAAGCTGCTGGTGGGACACTGAGCATGGATGCCACTGACGTATTCCCACGTATGGTGACTGAACTGCACAGCTACGAGTGGAGTGGGCCGGTGAGCTACCAAGGCAACCCTAAAACGGGACTGCTTCTCTGGAGTTCCTGCTCTGGGGAAAGTTTGCAGCTTTCAGCACCCAGGACTGGGTCAGAATTCACGACGAGGGAATCAACAGGATGCTGCGTTTGTATCCACCTGTCTTAGTGCCTCCCCACAACTTCCAATGCAGCCTGTAAGGACTGCATGCTCTTGTGCCATCCCCCTTTCGCATGGCTGAATTCCACCCCCCAGGCAGATTTGGGATTCATGGTTTTGTCACCCAGGGACTGCATGGACTACATTTTACAGAACTGGACTACATTGGAACCTCTGCCCGTCCCCCTCGCCACCTGTACAGTTCCGTCTCTTCGGGTGGCTTGTCACCTTGTGGGTTGGGGCCGAGCGGCGTACATACAGGGAAGGTAATATAAGGCTCTTATTTTAACAAACCAGATTGAACGAGCAAAAATGTGCGCCTTCCCAGAAAAACCTCACTTCTACGCGCTTGTTTTACTGTTTGCATTTCCCGGTCTCCAGTTTGAATTCCACGTAGCGGTGGGGGCGGGAGGGGACAGATGCCAGGGCGCTGGCATGCAATCCTGCATTAGTGGATGCACGCTGCTACCCGGGGCGTATCCTGTCTTTTGCATTGGTTCACAGAAGGGAAGTCCCTCCCATTCCTATATTAGTAAACACAAAAATGGAGCCACAAACTTACCAGGCTCACGGGAAGTTTCTCGCTTTCTCCCGTTTGTGCGGCCGGTTCCGTAGCGGGCTGTTCCTCTGGGGGGGGCATGAAAAAGCTCCACTGAGGATGGCCCCAGGATGTGCTGCACCTGCTCCTGTGACAAAGCCTCCTCTGGGATCCGTTTCATCAGCAGAGTCACTTCATTTGCCTCATTCGGTGCCCGTTGCTGACTCCCATCGATTTCTGTGCTGGCTTCTGGGGCTCGCAGGGCGCCGTCCTGACCAGGTGATCCTGCCCCGCCAGTGGCTTTGGTGCTCGACGCAGTCCCCAGCACTTGATCAAACTCATCACAAAACAGGCACGGTGTCCGCGAGCTGCCAGAGGTACAGCTGTGGTTCCTGGTTTTCAGGTACTTCGTCTTGAGCCACTTACTCCATTCCCTGCACTGGTCCCCGGTCCGGTAAATTTCCAGCCTCATCAGCTTCTTCGCTCTTTGGGGGTATGACTGGTCATTCCTGGTACTTGGACTAAAATCAGTTGTTTTGCTGGCCTCACTCCAGAGACTAACCGAAATCTGGCGGTGTTCCTGCGACCACAGGGCAGTGTGCTTTGTGAAGGACTTCTGGTTGGGATCCATTGCAAATGCCAAAGGTTCTCCTAGGGTGTGTTTGCAGCTCAGAATAAAATGGAAGGGTTAAAAACCCATCTGCTGTACTAGCGCAAGGCTGAGGTGTTTCCATTTCCCTGGAGTCAACTGGCAATTCGTGGGAGAGAGAGGACAAAGGAAGTCGGCCCACTGAATTGTGGGATGCGTTTGGCGGACTCCAGGGACCCGAGCCTGGAAGGGGGACTGTATCTACACTGCAAAACAATAGGACTTGAAACCTGGGTCCTACCTTGATGGGCTCGAACCTTCCACCCTTGAGGGGGTCATCGGACCCTGGGTCTGAGCCCAAGTCCGAGAGATTTATGTGTAGACAGAAGCGGGGTTAGGACTTGAGCCTGAGTCGGAGCCCAGGTTTACGTTGCAGTGTAGACACATCCTCAGTCAGAGCTGCTCCGCCTCAGCTGGGGGAAGATATTTCATCTGTCCCATATCTTCCCCCCACTCCCTTCACCCTTATCCAATTACAATAAACTCATCAGATCTCCTCAGCTGCCAGTTGATTCCAGAGCAGTTGTCTCATAATCCTGCTAGCTAATGAGCATTCAAACTATTTGCATAACAAAACGAAGAAGGGAAATTAATTACCATTTACGGCTGAAGTATCCATGTTCATTCATTTAAGCAAAGAGGTGCTCAATGTCACGCTCTCAGGAGCGGCAGTTGTAGCCTGTAATCTACTAGGGCACTCAACTCAATGGCTCCTCCGTTAGAGACTAAGTCATGTATATAGGGGACGGAAAGCCCTTTGTAGCCATCTCTTTGCCATGGCACCAGCCATACTTAGCTGCTCTGTTCCCAGTGTGATCACGCCTCCAGTCCCCCCAGGCATGCAGGTGGGATTCCTATTGGAACATGGTTCTGGAGTCAGACACCCACTGGATAATTTGACAGGCTCAAGACAGAATAATCAGGCAGGCGTCTGAGCAGCAGCGTGGGAGGTTGTATCCATCCACCTGCCGCACTCAGAACGGAATTACAGGAGAAGCCTGCAGCGTACTACAGACGAGGCTCGAATCATTGCATCTAATTGCACAGGAAAGAAAAGAACTACAAGAAAATTGTCAACACGTCTTACATGTAAATGAACAATCACAACAACCACCCAGAAAACTGTCGTCGTGACAGCCCGAGGAGGCCCAGGACACGTGGGACCAGGCGCTAGGAGAGGTTACATCACCAGTACTGATAGTGTCTCCGTGTGTGACCTTGGACTGCAATTTTTAAAAGTGGCCACTGATTTTGGATGCCTCCGAGTTAGGAGTTTGACTTGAGGCACCTAGGACCTGATTTTCAGAAGCACTCAGTACCCCCAATTCCAACTGACACCTCTGCACAGTTACATTGCATGTCAATGTGCCACAACGGTGTATGCAAATCAAGTAATTGCATTCAAGGGACATGACCCCAGGTCGCCATTTGTGCATCTGTTACCCCTTCTGCACTGGAACCGACCACCTGTGCAGATACAGTGAATATTTATTTAGCAATCTAAGGTGTTTGTCATTATAACTAAATTGTTATGGTAATGATTATAAGTAATGGAATTAATACTATAATAATATAACACTCAATATTTATAATATACTATACTACTATACTAATGGTTATAAACACTAATTCTATGACTGAGTTTCACCCCATGCTCAGTTAATCAGGAGTGCAACAGATTTTTTCTGCCTTCATCAGCCTTAAGCCCCTGTTAGGGCATATCTTCACAACAGAGTTAAACCAAGCACTTACCTGGGTTTTATCCTAGGCCAAAACTCTCTACAGTCCACACACAAAAACCTTCTGCCCAAGTTAGGAGGTGCTTTAACCCCTGGCTAGCTGATCTGGCTTGGGGGGTTGAGGGGGAAGGGGTTAGAGCCTGGGCTCTGCTTTAACTCTGGCTGGAAGCCACACACTGTACAGTGACACAAGCTAAATTACTTGAGAACTGAGAGTCCTCCGGTGCCTTCCCACAGTTCCCCCCACGAAGGGCAAAGTTTCCCGCAATTGACAGAACTGTCTGGGAAGAGATCCTAGAGCATCTCAGCACAAGACTCCGTGGGCTCTGCCCCCAGACACTCATGGTGAGTGCAGAAACAGTGAGGACACAATCCTTGGGCAGGGCTTTGCTGTGGGGATGCTCACACCCGGGCTAAGCTAACCCAGGCACTCAGGCCCCCTGGGCTAACTCTGCACCCTCGGAGGCAGGTTACTGGACTGCAGGGCCGCTCAGAGGATTCAGGGGGCCTGGGGCAAAGCAATTTCGGGGGCCCCTTACATACAAAAAAGTTGCAATACTATAAAATACTATATTCTCATGGGGGCCCCTGCGGGGCCTGGGGCAAATTGCCCCACTACCCCCCGGGGCGGCCCTGCTGGACTGCAGGGATTACTGGTCCCATGTGATCTGTGTTGGGATGAACATGTAACCAGAGCCCTGTGGTCCATTCCCAAAGGAACCCCATGCTGCTGCTGCCTCTTCTAACCCCACATGGCAAGGTCCTCTCCAGTCCTGGATAAAACCTCAGCTACTGGCTAACTCCTTTTCCTTCTCACCTTTTTCTCAGCGCTGGGGTCCTTCTTGGTCCCTTTAATGAAATCATTTCTCCCCTTCAGGTGCTGCTCATATACTGTCGGGGTCATGTCACCCTCTTCCATCAAGACATGAGGCCTATGAGGCTCTGGAAGGTCAGAGGGACAAGCAGAGAACAGCCTTAGACTGTTTGCGAGAGACTCCGAGGGACAGAATTGGGAGGCTGCAGCATTCGAGCTGGTGTAACACCGACAGACCCCACGTGTCGGTGGGCGGAATCGAACCTGGGGCCTCTGGAGCTTAGTGCATGAGCCTCAAGCCATATAGCACTTAGCGAAGGCTGTAGAGCAAACTCATTAATATCTCCCACTGAGTGGTCTCGGTGCCACTAGATGGGACAGAACACCACCCCCAGGAGGTGTGTGGGTTACACTGGCACCTGGGGACTATGGGACAGCAATGGGCACGTCCCAGTAGGTTCAGAGGTTTCGTTCACATAGATGGCTCAACGTTTACCACATGAAAGGGGCATTTGCCTCCAACGTGCAAAGACGGAGCTAATGGGACCTGCTGCCCAGACAACAGAATGGGAGGGACCCCAGAAAGGGGGTGAACAGCGGACAGAAAACACAGGCCACCTACCACTCGGGTGGATTAATATTTCCACCGGTCTGTCGAACGTGTGTTTGTTGGCCAGCGTGATCACGATGCTCTTGGCGGAGCGGGCAGAGGGGTCGGCGTCAGCTCGGATCTCGTGTGTCGGGCTTTCGACTCCTGCGCAGGAAAGAGGGATGCGACGCGGGGATGAGGTGGGTGGAGACGCTGGAATTCAGGGGGGAGCTGGGGCTCAGAGGGGGAAAGCAGAGAGAGTTGGCCTGGGGAAATGGGGGGGGGCATGGCGTAACGGAACCAGGAGGGTTGAGTAAGGATCTGTGTATGCTACTGTGCCTGGTTTCCTGCCTGCACCCAGGTGCCCAATGTACAAGGCAGGGTGCTGAAGCGTCATTTGCAGAAGTGCAGCCCCAGGAAGAAACAGCAATCAGTGCCGGGAGGGAGATGGTCTCACCCGCTCATCAGCGCTGCAGCTGGCAGACAAACAGCTGGTGCCATGGCAGGGTTACCGTGCTGAAACTGACTCTGTCTGTGGGGCTGTTGTCAATGTTTAGAGGGGGTTGTCAAGCGGACGAGGCTTCAAGGGGCAGCCCTGGCGCTCTCACCTGCGAGGACACAGGGCCCCCGGATCTCCAGGTGGAAGCTGAACTCGTACTCAGGTGGGGTTGGTGGCCTCGCTCTCCAGCAGCTGGGCCAGACAGAACGTGTTAGCCGGATCCGGGCTCCCAGCTGCGCAGGAATGTCGATCTCTGCTGAGGAGACGGCACCAAGTCAAAGCTGCAAACCCGGAGCCTGCCCTGCACCCTGCGCTGCAAACACAGCCCCACGGCTGGGGGTGAAGCAACTGGCAGCTGCCCTGCCTCCCACGGCAGCTCCTAATGCAGCTTGTTTCTGCAGGGCTGTGGGTCTAGACAGCAGCCCGAGCGTCTCTCCTCTCCAGTTCAGCCCTAGGAACACATGCATCTCAGCCCCTTGGACTCATCCCCAGCAGCACGTTGGGTGAGCGGGGGCTGGGGCAGGAGGCACTGGCGGGGCACAAAGCCAGAGAGCAGGGCAGATCAGAAGATGGGAGCTGGGAAAGGAGAGATGGACAGGGAGATGGCTACAGAGTGGCAGCTGGGGCACAAGAGGGGAGCTGAGGACAGAAGGGGGGAGCTGCAGGTGTTGCCAATCAACCAGTCTGTTGCAAGGGAGGCTGCTGATAAGAAATGGTGGGGGCCACTGAGCTAGGGGAAATGGGCTTTCATAGAAACGTTCCAGTGGCACGTGGCCTTCAGCAATTCAAGCCCAACCCTACGGCCATTCAGCCCCCTGCCATAGATAGGAGGGGCTGGGGCTACTCCAGAGAAGGCTGCTGGAGGAATGGGGCCATTTCTGTATCCCTCTGAGGGTGACCAGATGTCCCAATTTTCTAGGGACAGTCCTGATTTTTGGGTCTTCTTCTTATATAGGTTCATATTTCCTCCCACCCCGTCCCGATTTTTCACACTTGCTGTCTGGTCACCCTACATTCCCTCAGCACCACAGCATCTGGGCCACTCCTCAAAATCAAACCCACTCGGAGACTCTGGCTCCCCCTTACGCTCGGAGCTGATGTCCAGAGAGGCTGGTGCTTTCCACGCCGCACTGGGGCACCTTGGGGACGCACACGGCTGGGAGAAGGACCCTCACGGCACCGCTCGGGAGAGTCTGCAGCTCCGAGGAGGTGCTGATGAAGACGGACACGCTTTCCAGCGCAGGGATCACACCCAGGTTAGCCACAAAAGCGATTCGCTCCAAATCTTCATCCAGCACGATCCTTCCTGCACAGAGAGGCCACGGGGGAGAGACGTTCTGGGTAGACGCCAGAGAGGATGCTCCTCTCTGAGGCCACATCACTGTCCAGGTCTCCCTCCTCCTGCACCAGCCCCTGCTGCCGGTGGTAAGTGGATGCAATGGCTTTTCCTGTCCCCAAAGTGACCACGCCACTTCTGTTCAATACGCGTGCTCCTGACACCACGTCACGAGCCTGCATAACTGACAGCCCCTCTGGGATTCCTCTTCCCCTGCCCACTCCTCCCCTGGGCCATTCAAATCACAAGGGTCTCCTTACCGCTGCCATCCTGAGCTCTTCCATTGGGGAGGCTCCCGCAGTTCAAGTAACAGTCGTCTATTTTGGCTTTGTCTTTGATCTGCACGGTCACGGCCCGCCTGGAAACAACCGCTTCGAACCCAACCACGGTGGTGTACTCATCCAGTGGGTAGACAAAGAGACCTGCCACAGGGAAGGCTCTTAGAACAGCCACCCTAGGGGTGAGGTTTCCAACCACTCCCCACCAACGGTCCTGTGCTCTGGCGTGGTGGCCAAGAGGAGACATACCCTGTTAAAGGTTCCTTCCTCTGGCACCACCAGCGGCAGGAGCAAACACTGCGAGAGGCAAGAAGCCTGGAACTGTAAGAAAAAAACACTAGGGGCCCAATCCTCTCCCAGCTCCAGCACCTTTGCTGTTCAAAGAGGCCAGAATTTGGCCACAGGTCCTCTGCTGAGCTGTCGTCTGATAGCAGAGGAGAGCTCCGCTGGTTCCTACTCCAAGCATGCCTCACCCACTTTGGCACATGCCAGGGGAGGGCAGGGATGTGGGCTGGAGAAGGGGCAGGCTGGAATGCAGCTCTTCTTCACAAATTTTCAGCAGGCATATGGTCCCTTAGGGACCGTAGCCAGCAGTTGTAAGTTAGAAGAGCCTTTAGGCTGCTCTAACCGATGCTAGGACTGGGGCCAGGGCTGGAGCTGCCATGTCTTGAGAATCAGGTGCCTGTAACTGACTCCCCAATACCCTCCATTATGCCAAGCGGCTCTCGGTTCAGGAGAGAATCTGGCCCTACGATTGCACCAGTAGCAAGCATTGTACCCTGTCCGTAACGGGGAGGCTGCCAAGCCGGACTCAGAGGCTGACATTAACACCAGCAGTGACCGGTCACCCATACTGACCCCTGAGCACCATCCAAGCTGCCTGCGCACCAGGGAACGGAACCTTACCTTCAAAGGGATGGGCCTCCGGGTTGCCGTAGGTCAGGGAGGCGGTCATCCCAAAGGCATAGCCGCTGACGCAAGAGGTGACCTCGGAGGCTGTGAGTGGGAGAGGGGAGCTGCTTGTCCGGTTAATGAGCCCTGGCATCCTGCTTATGGGCTCTGGGGGAGCTTGGGTGTCAGGGCCTGCAGCAGACTGGAGAGAAGGGGGAGGACGTGAGACACCTGACAGAGCCCTGACTGCTAGAGCCCAAAACACTCCCGGCGCCTCAGACAGCCTTGGGGACAGGTAGCAGAGCTGATGACTGTCCCAGAAGCCAGTGTTCAGGGCAGCCTACACCTACCCCAGCAGGACCTGCCTCCAGGGGCCTGGACAGAGTTCATCGCAAAAGGCGGAACTGAAGAGGCCTCGGGGCTGAAGACAGGAATCCAGGCAACAAACACCGCTGGGTCCTAATCTCGTTCTGCCGAGCTCCCCTCTCTTCCCTTTGCACGGTGAGGATGGGCCACAGCAGCACCAAGTGGGATGGTGCTAGTGACATGCCCGCCCCTCCCGGGACCCTTCTGCCCCAAGCTGCACCTGTAACGTTGTCTTTTCTAATGGGAGAGGAGGGCTTGTAGGGATAACTGATGATCCCGGATTTGGCACTGCTCTCTCAGCTCCTTGCTGTGCCCACGGTGGTGTGCATCTCGTGGATCTGGTGGGGGGAGACAATGGCCATGGTTCTTCGCCTGTACGCTTGGGGGCTACAGAACAACTTTGTTCCCGCTTGATAAAGAGGAATTCGCTTCCTCACCGGTGACGGTGAACAACCAAGTCAGCCCATGGCATGGAGATGAGTAAACCATTCCCCCCGTGATGGGGAAGACACCATGAATCTCCATTCGCTCCAATACCTGGGACTATCTTAAAGTTAAATCTGCATGGACTGTACCAAGGGCATGCTGATATTTCAGGGGCAGGATCAAACTTCCTTCCAGCTGCTGTGCTTCCGCTTATAGCTTTCTATTGTGCAGAACTGGGTAACTTTCTCACACACACCCCCCTCTGGCTTTTGTTTTCTTTCAAAGTGTAAAGTTTCTCCGTGATAACAAACTACAACCATGCAAGTTCTCATGAAAGAAAGAAACGTATGGAAATAGACAGATATTCTTTTCGGCCTATGATTTCTTTGCCCATTACCAGACAACACCACAACGCTGGCTATATTAATTCACCCCCCCCCCCTGCATTTCAAGGCAAATGCAATGACTCCTCTTCCACACTCCCCCTGTCTCCACATCACGCCTGCAAAGTATGACTCAGTTCATTGCCTCCTTAGCAGAGCTGTTCATACTTAAAGTTGTTGCCTCTAATGCTTCTGTTAGTTAAATTTTCCTTGCAACAGTTCTCGCTGCCAGCCTAACCTCCGCTTTAGCTAATCTTCTCCCAACATGTCTGTCAGCCTGACTGGCAGAGGAATTCAGAGAAGGATCTTGCGGGTACCTTTCCGTCCCGAACTCCCCACACTCGCTCTCGGGCAGGAATTCCCAGGGATAGCTGCAGCCGCACCGCTCCTTGGCTGGCTCTGGATGATTTACACAACGCTCTCTGTGAGCAAGGGGGAGCCAGCCGCAGGGAAAGACATCGATTTACCTCGCATTTCCTGGCCAACTCTGTGTTATTAAATGCACCTTTAGAAGCAAATGTCCCAAAAGGCAAATACAAGAAGTCATTAGGACCAGGAGCTCACCCGTGCCTTTGAGTGGAAAAGCAGCAGAGCTAAGCTGGGCCAACTAGGGTGGGACATAGAGGACTAACAGCGGTCCACTAGGAGTGACTGAGAGGAGGATATGGGACTTTAAGTACTAGCTAAGGCTAACCAAGATGAGGCACAGGACAAATGAGGCCAGCAAGATGGAGCTATGGGAACCCTGGGGTTAATAAGGACTTTACCAGGATGGGGCTACTTAGTAAGAACATAAGAACGACCATTCTGGGTCAGACCAAAGGTCCATCTAGCCCAGTATCCTGTCATCTGACAGTGGCCAATGCCAGGTGCCCCAGAGGGAATGAACAGAACAGGGAATCATCAAGAGATCCATCCCCTGTTGCCCATTCCCAGCTTCTGGCAAACAGAGGCTAGGGACACCATCCCTGCCCGTCCTGGCTAAAGCCATTGATGGACCTATCCGCCATGAACTTATCTAGTTCTTTTTTGAAATGAGTACTGTTAAGGGACAGCAAGACTCTGAAAATATAATGAGAAACTAATAGTAACAATAAGGGCACCTCCCATTTGAGGATCTCAAACTCAGACCTTACTGTGGTAAGCCTCAGAATCTTCCTGTGATGCAGGTTCTATTATCCCCGGACTACAGGGGTTCAGAGACTTACCCAAGTAGTCTGTGTCAGACCTGGAAATAAAACCCAGTTTCGATTGCCAGGACCCTGCTCTACCCACCATCTCCGTGGGAAATTTGTAGTGGGAAGCATAGGTGCCTAACCCGCCAGAAAAGGCGCAGCTCAATGTCTCTGCTTGGAAAGAAAACGTTGCTTGTGCCTGCGTGTGTGAGAGAGTGAGCCAGAGACTGTGGAAAGTTAGTGGCATCTGTGTAAAGGAGCCGCCAGTCACCGGGAGCTGGGGGCTCAATAGGACCACGATTCTTCTAGCCTGGCTGCTCCCCAATGCACAGCTCAGCTGTCCGGGTAGTTTGTTTTCCTTCTCAGCACCGATGCATTTCATGGTAGTCCTGGTGCCCCAAGCCAGACCCTCTGGCGGATGTCTGCACAATCTAGCTAGCTCGTGAAGCCGTGGCAGCATGGGCTAGCCATCTGAGTCATTTCCCAGGGTTCTGGATGTGTTTGTACAGCCCGTACTGAAGCATGCACTACCATGGCTTCACAGCGACCAGTACCCCAGCTAGTCAGATTACAGCTGGCTTGGGTGTGTCTACATGGGCTGCAATCACATACCAGGACTTCAGTGAGGACATTTCCTAAGAAACCCAGGAGCCTGCTGTGTGCAAGGATCCTTTAAACTAATCTGATAGATGCTATAAAGCCGGTAGGGGGGAAAGCCAGAATAGTTGTGCTGGGATACTGAGGCTAATCGAGCTACCCTAGCTACTGGGGGAGGGATAGCTCAGTGCTTTGAGCATTGGCCTGCTAAACCCAGGGTTGTGAGTTCAATCCTTGAGGGGGCCAAGGATCTGGGGCAAAATCAGTACTTGGTCCTGCTAGTGAAGGCAGGGGGCTGGACTTGATGACCTTTCAAGGTCCCTTCCAATTCTAGGAGAAGGGATATCTCCATTAATTATTATTATTACCCAGACACACCGTCTCCAGATAGCAAAGGCCAGTCAGGACATTGGGGAAGTGAGATCTGCCAGGTCGGGGAGGAAGGAGGCTGAATCACCTGCCCTAAGGGAGGAAAATGGAAGAAAGAACTGAGTGAAAAAGGAAAATAGAAGGAAGGAGACAGGTTAGAAAGGCGGACAGAGGAGTAAGCCAGGCCTGGCAGATGGGATTTCTCTGCTGTGCCACATTGGAGAGGGGGGTTCAGTCTCCAGTCCTGAGACCTGATTCCCCCCTCACTTATACAAGTGCAGCTTCATTGGCTTCAGCGGAGCTACTCCTGATTTACATCAGGCTAAGTGGGGTCAGAATCAAGCGCCTGGCCTCCTCTTGTGAGCAGATGGAAGCTGGGAAGGAGCTCCCCCTGAGGAAGGAGCAGTTGTAGCATCACCAACAGTGTCTTCTGTGCCTGCTTGACCCCAGCCAGCACATAGGGGCCCTGGGCGGTGAGGTGCTAGGAGCCGGCACAGGCTGTGTTATAGCTACAGGGGACATTTGCTCCGTAGCGGCCTTGTCTCGCATCCTTCCAAAGGGCCAGACAGAGGACGCGAGACAATGACAAGTGCAGGGGCTTAGAGGAGGATGAGATCATTTATATTAGCTGCAGCCATCACAACTTCTAGTGCCATGGTTTGCTGATTCACAGTCCCTGAGAGCAAGAATCAAAGTGCTCTGGCCAGAATGGAGGTGCATGAGGGTCTGCAATGAACACTGTCCCCAGCTATCTCAGAGAAGCAGGACAGCTGTGATTCTACTGCTGGGGGAGAATGTAGATGGGTTTTCAAGGGCACATGTAGGTTGTCAGCTCTTTGGGGCCTGGACTGTCTCTTTTGTTCTGTGTTTGCACAACGCCTAGTGCAATGGGGCCCTGAGTCAGGACATGGGTTCCTAGGCACCATGGTGATGCAAACAATAACAATCCCATCTGGGGAGAAGGCTGGTGGCCATAATTATTATTATGTGTAGTATGACAGTACTTAGGAGCTGCATGCAGCCTCAGGGCCCCATTGGGCTTGGTGCTTACAATCCATATAGACAAGCCTGGGAGAAAGGGAGGTGTGATGGGATCTATAAACCCCACCCTGCAACCTCTAATAAAGGGTTAAGAGACCTTCTCAGCTGTGGCTAATTGGCAGACCATCAACAGCTGGGGAAAGAGCTGCAGACCACACACAAAGCAGTGGCCAGGGAGCCTGAAAGAGGACTTTGTATCAGCTGTGAAGTGGGTAGGAAGTGGCTAGCGCTGGAAGGAGCCGCTCTGGGAAATGGGCCAGAGGCAGATGAAGGTAGGAAGGGGCCCAGGAAAGCAGCAATGAGTCGGAGGCAGCAGACCAGGGTCCCTGGGCTGGAGCCCATAGGCGAGGGCAGGTCTGTGTTCTCCTCCCTGCCAGCAGGAAAAGGGGTGTGAAAGCTCTCCTGTTGCAAGGGGTCATGGGCTGCTGGGCCCAGGGTGGGGCTGAAGACCTGGCATAAGGTCATTAGACTGTCTGGTTATTGGACTCTGTAGGTGTGGGGACTGTAAGTGATCTGTCTGGAGGGTGAGTGCTGAGATGAGGCAAATGGCCACCGGAGTTTCTGACAGGAGGTGCTACTGTAGCAGAGGCTGCTGCGTCATGCTGGCCATGAGGGGATGGACTAGCTGGTGACTGACACCCTCCCCCCCCACGCCCCTCTCCCCCCACACACAAGAGATCCTCCTCCTCCTCCTGGCTTTACAGCTTGGGAACTGAGGGGATGTCTACCCTGCAGTTAGACACTGGGGCTGGCCCATGCCACGTGACTTGAGCTCGTGGGGCTGTTTAATGTGGGTGTAGATGTTTGGGCTCAGGCTGCAGCGTGAGCTCTGGGACCCTCGAGCC